TAACCCCCCCCCCCCCCCCCACACACACACACACACACACACACACACACATTGCAAGGCAAAATGCTAATTTTTGTCTAGGGTACCAGCAGTAAAAAGCAGTTTTATTTAACTCATTATTCCTCGCTCCCACAGTCTCCCCATTCTATGTGACAGGTCCCTTCAAGCCGCTTCTCTTTGGCTCTCCATCCACCGGTCACAAGCACTCTGACCTCCTCATGTTCAAATGCAGGACCAGCAGTCCTGTATTGTAAGTGGGAATGCCGAGGGCCCACCAACAAACTCGGAGCCCCGGAGAAGACCAGAAAAAGTGAAGTAAAAGTGCTTATTAATGTGCCCCTGGACACAAACAAGCATTTAACTCCTGAGTGAGGGGGGTGCTCCACTGCAAGGGTAGTTTGTTCAATTTCCCGGAGTTCAGCATTAGCGCAGCATGCATCAGCACAAAAAAAAACCTTGCCTGCGTTAACATAATGCATAGTGTGTATGGGCCCGCAGATCATCTACGTCTCAGCACAGGCTGAAGCCGCGCACGCCGCTGGTCTCCCTCACCCGCCGTGAGCTCCCTCACCCACCCCTGGCCCGCAGACAATCGAGGGCCCACCTTCTGAAATGAAGTCAGGAGTGGACTGCACTAGAAATGTAACTGTAGTGATCTGAATATAATGACACTTCCCTCCCTTTTCAATAATAAGAGGTTTCCTTGAGAGATTCTGAGTAAATTGAAAAGTGCTCGCTATTAAAATAAGCTGATCCTTGCCTGCCCTCAATACAAACTAGTGCAACTTGAATGATGTTCCATTTTGCTCATGTGGTTAGCACTTTCCTCCCTGTTCACATAGGAAAGGACTAGCACCTGTTCACTAGAGCTGCAACAATTATTCCATTAAGTCGATTAAAATCGACGATGGAAAACGTTGTCACGCGACGCCGCTTACGCCACGCCCACCGCACACGCTGAGGACATGCGTCTGGCCCTCTCCTCCCGGTGAGCTTCCCGACTCGCAGCTGCCCGCCGACAACCAACAATGCCGCTGCCCGCCGAAACACCGTCATTCAAAGTAAGTCGAGATCGGCCAGGCGTTTCAACGCCCTGGTGTGAACGGGGGACTTAAAGTAACTATGGATGGACAGAGGGGGCAAGTTCTGCCTTCCCTGGGGGGAAACCACAGAAATAGGT